CCAATGCTGGTGGCCATCGGACCCAGTGGCCGGACCGTCACGAAAGAAGCGAGAGATCTCGTCATGCTCTATGGTGCTGAAGCTTATCCTTTCACCGAGGAAAGGGTGAAGGAACTTGAGGCAGCATCTGAAGAGATGGCAAAGGGGTGGCCTGAGAAGGTGACACACAAGTCTCATGATCATGAGCTTGTGTTGACTCGCAGGAGGATTTATTACTGTGATGGTTGTGACGAGGAGGGTCACTCGTGGTCATTCTACTGTGACCAATGTGACTTCGATCTCCATCCAAAATGTGCTCTGGAGGAAGAGAAACCTGGAGAAGTTACCAATGAAGAAGAGAGTAAAGAAGATGGGTGGGTTTGTGATGGAGAAGTCTGTTCAAAAGCCTGAAGAAGAGTGAAAGTGTGAAGACTGTTTGTTGTATCGAAGTTGTCTGAAGACTTCTTGTGTGGATTTCAAAACATGTGTAGTAGTAGTAATAGTAACAGTATGTTAGTTGTTCGAAAAAAATACTTTTTTATCGGGGGATAAAAAAATGGTCTAGTACAAGTCAAAGCCCGAAGGAAAAGAGGTGTTACAAAAATAGACGTCATGCTTGGCTTTAATCTTTTGCAGGGAAGAAGTTGACTTGCGTTTTTCGATTAAAAAAAAAATGGTCTTTCATACTCGTTCACTTTCCACGTTATGGTGTTGTGGAAACTTGGCTAGGCTTTAATTTATATCACACAACGAAGAAAAATCCAACACGCAGTGTATATGCAATGTAAAATTTTTCAGCAACAAATAGCAAGGCGGGGATACATATCAATCTGTTCTACTAATGATCAATATGACCAGGCGCAGAGTTGGGATTTATGTATGAAAGAGTTTGAGATTGAAATATATATATATATATATATGTATGTATATAATTTGTATAAATTTTGAAGGCGAGAAATATATAATATTTATATTGTAGTAAAAAAAAACTACTACATGACTTGTGCTATCTACACACGTTATGTCAAATAAATCAACAAAACGTTTAGAAAATAATGTTAGCCAAATGACATCAAGTATTGATCTGGTATAAAATGTTATCTTTATTATCTAATTTTTCTACTTTGTCATTTCATGGACATATTGGCATTAAAAAGTGGTGATTTGACTGACTAACCGTTCTAGTTGGTAAAAAATTTTCATAACTTACAGAGATTTTGAATTCAAACTCCACTATTAATATAAAAATTTTTAGTGAATAATCTATAAATATATTTATAAATACTATTTAAATCGTGCCTTAGCCTTGGAGGCTTGGGATACCACTCACTTAAATTTTTACATAGCAAAAAAGTGTTAAAAAAAAATTAAAATAGGTGATTTGTTTAATGACAGGTATCAAAATGAATGGACGCCCCAATTTTTGTGCACATACCTTAAATGTATATATCTAAAATTTAAATTAGATAGTAAAAACAATATTTTTTTCAGAATTTGAAGAACCTAAATAAAGTAAATGCTAAGTACGAAGATCATTAGTTAGGCAGTAATCGTTTATGATTTTAGTTTCTTTTTTTCAATTCAAAAAAAAATATATTAGAGAATCTGGCAATTTAGTAACTGACAAGTGACAAGTTAGACTTTGAGGGAAAGCGAGAAGTGATTCCAATATTATTATTAACCTCTTTAGCCGACTCTGGTGTCTCATGCAGAAAGGTTATCCTACAATGCTTTCAATTGTGGGTAATCTTATAATACACAAAAGAGGAAAATGAAGAATGACATTTAATGCCTCTTAAGAGAATTCATTACAATAAAAGGTTATCAATTTTGTGTCATTTTATGAAAACACGTACATATTGTTAAAAAGTAAACCTTCACTTTTTTTTTTGTTAGAGTTTTCTTAAAAATTTAACAAGTTAAAGTTCAATTTTTAATAACAATATACAAATATTTTTATATCCAATGCAAAATTGATAAGCCCTTATTATGATAAATTAATTTGAGATGACTTTAAATTTGATTCTCACATAAGAAAATGGGATATAAAAATATTACTGCAATATCATTCATGAGAGATATTTTTAAAAAAACATTACTTTGAATCCATATATTTTGCTTGCATTTTATTATTGATCTTTATATTTTTTTTTATGTTTTATGTCCCTATATTTTTATTTTTTGATGTTCAAAGTCTCTACACTTTGTTCACTTAAGGACCTAAAATATTAAAAAATAAAAATGTGGGGATTTAAAATATTAAAAAAATGTAAGGATTTATACTAAACGTCAGCAAAATATATGAATCAAAAATTATATTTTTTAGATATTCTTTTCATGTAGAAAGGAAATTGTTCTGCGATTTATGCAGTCAAAGATAGTTACAGACTCTTCCTAGGTGATCAAATTTGGTAAAGCATCAAACTATGAGAGACCACCATTTTATGGTTGCTGGGGAATATACACTTTTGTGGGTTGGGCGGAGAATTAAGGAAACATATTTTTCTTTAGTTATCTTCTGGACCTGGACCCGGAAAAATCGAGCTCTTGTAAATTGAACCTACCCGCTTTATGGTTTAATAATTCAATTCAATTTAATTTTTGTAATTGTTACATACAAGGTGTTATGATACACTTCCTATTCATAATAACGTAATTTTCACATAAAATTCTTAATTCTAAAATACTTCAAATTTATAAAAAATTAATTATTTAATTTTTATAATTTTAACTCAATTATAATTTAATCTCTAAATTTAATTTATTATAATTCAGTGTTTGAATTTTGATTCAATACAACTTATTCCTTGTAGTTATAACCATTTAAAATATTAGTCCATATACTTTAAAAAATAAATTAAAAATTTTAAAATTATTCTAAAATTTTAATTTTTTATATTCTTTATAAATATTAAATGTTTTGGTAATTGAAAATATTAGTCCCTAAATTTTAAAATAATTTTAATTATGATAATTTTATTTTCAAATTTAGAAGGATCAATATTTAAAATGATTGAAATTATAGAATTGAATTGTACCTAATTAAAATTTAAAGACACAGTTATAATAAAAAATTATAAAGACTGAATTATAATGAATCAAAATTCATAAACTAAATTATAATTAAATTAAAATTACATAATTAATTTTTTTTAAAACTTATATTAATTACAAGTAGATCAAAACTTTAACAACTCAAGACTTATAATCCATTTTTCTATAAAAAATTTTGTGCAGCACATCAAGGTTAATTTCTAGTTTGGTTTGTACAAATAATAACTAATTAGAACTATTTTAGTCTTTTATATAACTTGAAAAAAATAAAAAATCATCCAAGAAACATAGAACATAAATTATATGATCTGTATATTACCCATGATTGATGAATTATTAAATGAACTATTCATGGATATGAAACTACTGGGTGTGGTGACCCCACTCAATATAACTAATATTTGACTGTTGTCATGTTTTTTCTTTTTTGAATAAAACTTAGGAGTAATTTAAGGGGGGGGGAATTAGAAGGACGTTATCGTATTAAACCTCGTTGTTTGGCATCTGATTCGCCAGCTATCCTATCGGATTATAAAACGTTGACGCCAATAGTCCTCCTTTTTATTATACGAATTGAAATAATTATATGACTCATATGATATATCATTAATTAGTGAAGTTGAATAAATGGAAATAAAAATCAAAGCAATAAGCCGATGATTATTGTTTATTATAAGGTTATGGGCAAATTTGTCCTATAAATTTTTGATTAAATAATGAAACATTTATCTTTTCAATTGATGCAATGTTACTTGAAAGTTCTAAAAATTATGCAATATTACCCTATAATAATATTTGATAAATGTTTACTGTTATTATGAGGGTTATAATAACATTTGGCAAATGTTTATTGTTATTATGAGGATTAAAGGATAATTTTATTCTTGAATTTATCTTAAAAAAAAATTGGCATCCTAAACTATTAACAAGCGCAATACTTTAAGATTATTAACTTTTAAATCAAAAGAATGATCTAACAAGTCATTATGACCTAAAATCATAGAAGATTTTGAATTGAATTATATTAAACATCTCTAAGTCAAAATTTAAATTAATCTATGTTGCCCACAAGCAGTTTGAAAAAAAAAAAAAAATCTATATTTGCTTACAGTTAAGTTTGGACACATGCTTGAACTTACTCATTAAAAAAAATAAAGAGAAGTTTGGATTTTATTGAAGGGAAAGTTCGCAGAATGTTCAAATAGAGTTAGTTTTACATTCAAGCAAAATTAAGTAATGTTTCTTGTCAAAATCTGTAAGTACAAATTGCAAAAATAAAAGGGCAATTTGGGTGCAAGCATAAATCATTTTTAAAATCAATAATGTGTTGTTAGATTTTTCTTATAATTTAACTATTGATAATTTAAAAATATTGTGCTGATTGAAAAGTTTAAGATACTAATTTATTTTAAAAAAATCTTCTAGAGTAAAATTAATCTTTAACCATTTTAAAAAATGTTTAACTAACAATCAACCTTACTATATTACTAGACAGTATTGCATCATTTTTTAAATTTTTAGGATAATTTTATGACAATCAAAATTTAAGGATACTCATTGCATTTGGTGAAAAAAATAAGGACAAATTTATCCTTTAATCCACTATTATATAATTAAATTGGAATTAATTTATTTATTATATCAATGTCATGTCAACTCTTCCAAGATTCGCCACTTGGATTCTGAAAGGTCCAAATTTATATTAAAAAAATCGCCACTAAAAGATATTGTACTATATACAAATTTATTCACCTCTCTGTCGTTAGATATCCGATTTTAAAACGTTGAAGGTTGACGCCAATAGTCGTCGTTTATGCGAGCGACATGCGTTTCGGTCATTGGAACATGAACGACATTTCTTGTCCGATCATCACTCCCTGGCTGCTTTGTCCAATGGGAAAAGAGAGAACTGCTTATTTTGTTTCTTTCTCCCTTAGCCACTAAGAAAATCAGCCGACAATGAAAGCTCGAATATTCCAGAAATTATAGTGGGAAGAAGAGCATGTTCTCATCCTCAGTGATAATCAGTAATACAAAATTACGGACCCAGATTGAAGTTAGAGAGACTATTTTTCAGAAAGAGTTAGTTGTTTATGAACGCAATTAATTTTTTTTTTTTTTACGTTAACTCTCTCTCTCTCTCTCTCTCTCTCGTGTCTCGGACAAGAAGCAACGAGAAAAGGCCCCCCAGATTTTTTCTGCCTATAAATAACCAATGGAAGTGCGATTCTTTTAGTTGTGCAGGGCTGCTTTCAGAGCTAGTTTCAGTGACGGAAATGGCTGGTGCTGATAATGTCGCCCATGATATTCAATCTATCCTCTCTTCTTCGGGGAGGGATTATCTCGTTCGGAACAACGGCGATCAGGTGCTTCTTTTGTTCTTACGTTTAACGCGATTTCTTCCTTTAATTTTCTCGGAAAATTTCCACGTCTGAGATTCGGAAAGCTCGAACTCTTCATTTATTCACGAATCCATCTTTCTTCCATAAGACTCCAACCATATCTGAAGTTATGAGCAACGGCCTTCTCACTAAATTTTGTCTTCTGAGTGAATAGGGTGTCTGTACTTGCAGCATATCTGATTTGATTACTGTCTTTCTGTATTTTCTATGTTTGATGTTTGATTCACGGATATCTTTTAATTACGAAACACGTGAGTTGTGATACACCAGCTTGTTCTTCAGTATAAGACAAATATGGGTTAAAATAGGCTGCTGAATCAAATAGAATAAATCGGAATGATTTTTTTGAGCATGAGATCTGATAGACTCTGCCACTGGATATGCTGTTTTATTTGAGAGGTCTTTAATCATGCTGTAAATATTTTCAGGTACAAATTGAGAGCTTGAAAGGGAAGAAAGTTGGTTTATATTTTTCAGGATCTTGGTGCGGCCCCTGCCGACGATTCACCCCTACTTTGGTGGAGTTGTACAATGAAGTCTCTCCTAAAGGTGACTTTGAGATCATTTTTGTGTCGGCTGATGAAGATGAAGATTCCTTCAACGGTTACTTTTCAAAGATGCCATGGCTTGCTGTCCCATTTTCTGATTCCGACACGCGCAGTAGCCTCGATGAATTGTTCCAAGTGCAGGGGATTCCCCACCTCGTGATTCTGGACGAGAATGGGAAAGTCGCCACTGAAGATGGAACTGAGGCCATTAACGAGCACGGCGTTGCTGCATACCCTTTTACAGCTCAGACCCTTGAATCTATTCTAGTTTCTGGAGATCTAGATTTTGTCTTGGGGAAAGATGGGGTCAAGGTATGAGTAAAACAATCGAATTTTTTTCCCTGTTGCTTCTTAGATATTTTCAATAGCTTGAAAATGGTCTTGTACATTCTGATGTATTGGATGTCAAAAAACACAAATCGTGATAGAAAGAACTGTGAATTTGATAACTTTTTAGTTTATTCTTTTACAGCAAAAATTAATATGCTCTGTATGATAGCTTTTGGTTTGTCATTTCAAACATGAAACTCTAGAATGCTGATATTTGACACTTGAGTATCATTTAAATCAGGATACAATAAATATATGAATTGAATATCTTTGAACTTTAGTCTATGCTTTATATGAAGGCTTTTGATTTGTTATTCCAAACATGAAACTATTTATACTACGATAAGATGATATTTGAAACTTGTGTATCATCTGAACCCATAATGGTGCTTCTCTTCCTATCCTCTTCTCTCTCCATTCTGTGATAGTAATGATAGTAGCTCTTCTTCATTTCAGATTCCAGTGTCAGATTTAGTGGGAAAGACAGTCCTCCTATACTTCTCAGCTCAATGGTGCCCACCATGCCGTGCATTTCTACCAAAGCTTATAGAAGCATATCACAAGATCAAGGCCAAGGACAATGCACTTGAAGTCGTCTTCATATCCAGTGACAGGGACCAGGCCTCGTTTGACAAATTCTTTGCTGAAATGCCATGGCTGGCGCTTCCTTTTGGAGACTCTAGGAAGGCATTCTTAGGTCGCAAGTTCAAGGTGCAAGGCATTCCCATGTTGGTGGCCATCGGACCTAGTGGCCGAACCATCACGAAAGAAGCCAGAGGACTCATCACGCTTTATGGTGATGAAGCCTATCCTTTCACTGAGGAAAGGGTGAAAGAACTTGAGGCAGCAGCTGAAGAACGACGTGCATTGGAGGGAAGAGAAATCTAAACAAGGTCCCAATGAGGAAGATGAGAATAAGAAAGATTTGGGGTTTGGGATATAGAAGTTTGCACTATAGCCTAAATAAAAGTTAAGAGTGAAGTTTGCACTAAAGTTAAGAGTGAAGTTTGCCCCTAGGCCTCTTGTGTGTATCTCTTGTGTGTATTTCAGAGTTTGTATGATGTTGTGTTGGATTTTAATGTTATAAATAAACACTAGAGTATGCCCCTGTACGATGTACAGGTATACTTAAGCTTTATTGATGTTTTTCTTTTTTAAATATATATATATATATATATATATGTATGTATGTATATGTTATTATTGTTTTTACTGTAGAACAAACGGCAACAAAAGATTATATTTTACGAAAGAAAAGATTTTTACCTATTTTATATACATTATAGATTATATACAATGGTATAGCATATGTCAAGGTAAAAAAAAAAAAAATTAACTGTCTTTTTGAGTGTCTTAATACAAGGGGAAGATTAAGTTATATCAGACGTCTCCATAAGAACTCGAGCAATGTGAGTCATATCAGCAAACTTGTGTTCTTTTAACGATTTTTTGTTTGGGGGAGCTTAGGCATTTTTTTTTCATGCAAAAGAAAAAAATATTTAATTCTCTCATAAGTCAGTGCTATAGTAAATTTTCTGGTAAAAAGTGCTATAGCAAAATTTTACTTAAAAATTTAAGTGCTTGAATGAAATATGGGTACTTATTTAAAATAAAATATTAGTTAAATTAAATGCGTTTGAATTAATCAACTTCGTACGACAGAAATTACACCATTTCAACAATATAACTTTTATGGGTCATTTTATTCATTATTTATATTACATTATCCCATGTTTACATGTTTTATTATATTTATCATCATATTTAACTTTAATATTTCCTTTTTATTCTTATCCAGAATTCATTGTTGCTTAAAATATTTAATAATTATTTAATTTTAATTATTTTTATTTAATAGTATATTTTGGTCTCCCTGCCCATGACATAAATTATTTGAGCTTATATCAAATAATTGATTTTATAACTAATATTTTTCTTGATGATACAACTATAACTAACATGTTATGGTAATGGTTTTTTTAAAAAAAAAATTAATCTTTTAGTCTTCTAACTTTTTACTTACTTGTAACTCAGTCTTTCAACTATGACTCGCTGTGACTTAGTTCCTCAACTATGACTCGCCTATGACTCAGTCTCTCAACTTTTGAATCATTTATAATTTAGTCCCTCACCTTTTTTTATTTTACTTTTTTTTGGTAGTTTAAATTTCACATCAAAAAGTAAAAGGAGGGTATTTTAGAATAATATATGAACTTTTTTTTATCCTTTTTATTTGATAAGAAAATTTTTAAAAAAATTAAAAAATAAGAATCAAATTATAAGGAAGTTAGTTAGAAAGTAAGTAACTATTTTATTGGAGGGTGAGATTTGATTAAAAATATCTTACATTTTTTAACAGAGGGAGTATTTGTTAGTTTAGTTTTTTTTAATAACAATAGGCTTAATATGCTTAGTTTTTTTAATAACAACAGCCACGTTTTTTATGTTAACTTTATCTTTCTTATAAATAATTTTAGTTTATGTTTTAACAACTATATTTTTTATTATTTTTGCGTAGATAAGAGACATAATTTAAGAATAAATTCCTATAACTCTAGAGTATTATCTTATTTCATATTACTTTTTTTTTTATCAGTTTCTTATTTCGATGATATTTATCCATCATTCTCCTTTAATTTTTTAATGTCAACTATTAGGTAGATCTAGTGTTTCTTGAAGATTATTCATTTATTGCTCATTTAAGTATTTATTATTTGTCTGGCATAAAAAATATTTACTATTTTATTTTAGATATTCCCCAGCCCTGGTTCTCAGTTTCTTTTTAGATAAAAAAAAAATGTTTAGAAGAGTTTGAGTTTAAAGATTTATCAAGATCTTGGACATATTTTTAAACTCCAATAACACTTATAAAAATTATTATAAATTGTCTATCAATAGAATTTTCACATAAGCCTTGAGAAAGAAGGTAGGAATGATGACCCACGAGTCCCCATTATTGGCCTCAACGATTTAAAATCCAATGATAGACGAGCCAGATTTTTTATTAAAAACAAAAAACAAAGCAAAACAAAAATAAACCCTAACAAAAAATAATCAATTTGAATTAACTAAATTAATCTTGCTAGTAATGGAGTTAAGTCTAGTGAAAAGGGCTCATCTTCTGCAACATAATGAACCAAGTTTGAATCCTTACCAGAGATGCCTCAAATAGTTGCCTTTAATGAAAAGATATTCCTTCTCATTTTATTTATAAATTATTTTCAGCATGTTTTATCAAAATTAAAAAAAATCATAAATTTTATTAACTTTGTCTTAAAACTTAACAAGATTTTACTTTTACTTCTAATAAATATTCTTAAATTTCATTATTAATTTTATTCAAAGCATTTAATAAAGATAAAACTAATTCTATCTTTTTATATTTATCTCTATTAAATACACTATAATAAATATAAAGTCATTAAAAGCAACAATTACACCTCAAAAAATTAAAAATGCCTTACATTTGTTAACATCTAACCCTTCAAAAAATGTCTTATATTTTTAAACTGAGGGAGTACATTTTTTAATATTAATTAATATATTTGATAGTATTCTTTTGTTATTTGCATGTTTCCATCAGATATTGCTCACAAATTAATTAATATTGTTCACAAAAATATTAATTAATATTAATTAATTAATTAATTACCTAAACAATGAAGTTTAAATACATGAATTTTAACTATGAGATTTTAAATATATAATTTAAATTCTATTTTTGACCAACAAATATATAATTTAAATTCAAATTTACTAATCTAAACATTACAAAAAAAAAATCTGGTAGAGTAAGATAGAGGACATGCTTTGCCTTAGTACCTTAGCAAAGAAGTTTTGTTTTGTACTTAGAGATGGAGCCAGAAAATTTCATTAAAGGAAGCCAAGACAACAAAGCATACTCCCTTCATTAAAAAATATAAGATATTTTTAGAGAAGTTAAATGTTAAAAATATAAGATAGTTTTAGTCTTTCAAAATGTAATCATTGTATTTTCTAAAAGTACCTCTATTGATAATAACTTTAAATTTATTGTAAGCTATTTAATAGGGATAAATATGAAAAGATAGGATTAGTTTAAAAGTAGGTAACTATTTTATTGGAGAATAAGATTCAATTAAAAATGTCTTATATTTTTTAACGGAGAGAATATATGATAATTAAAAAAAAATAAATCTATATATGTCACTAACATAACAGATATATTTCAACATATTTATTTATATTCAATTTTATATACATATATATAACAAAAATAAATATATACCTTTATTTTTTAAGTTTTGCTCATCAATTTTTCATGGTATGAGAATAATTAATTATCATGTTTAAAATAAAATTTTTAATAATTTTTTTCTCAATATAAACTATCATTAAACTGGAGAAGATTTAATATTTTCCATGAGCATTGAATAATTTAAATATATCTTTAGAATTTAAAGTTCTGTTCAATTTAAAAAACGCTCATCACTTACTTACTGAATTTACTATTTAATTTTTTTAATTGATAATGATAATAAATAAATATATCAACACGATAATAATGCTTAATTGTCACTAATTCTTTATGTCTATGAGATTTAAGTATATCATAGTAAAAATTTTTTATATAATAAATTTCAATACCTTGATTATTACTAAAATTTTTTTTTTCTAAAAAAAATCTCAACCAATTCCTCTTAACTTTTAGATAAGTAATTTTATGATAAATATCAAGTATATAGCATTTAATATATTTTAAGATTTTTCTTACAATGCTCGATAGAACAAAATTAAATGACATTAATACTTTTAAAAGCAACTGTAATATTATTTTGTTGAAAATAAATAAATCTTATAATAATTATATTTTTGAGTTACTGAAACAGTTGGATTATACATGTATAAATTTTTTTTATAAAATTAAAATAAAAATTTTATTTAATATTTTAAGTATTCTATAATGTATCAATTTAAAAGGTGGAAAGTATATAACCTTTATATTTTATTAAAAAAATTAAAAATAAAAATGACCGTGTTCCGTACTGGTTCCTGTCTTCTCCCCTGTTGGTACCTGTCGTGTTTTCTTGTTTGGTATTGCACCGTTCCTTATCGTGTTGCGTAAGCTTGCTGACGTCTAACTCATTCAACATCATGGCTGACGTAATCTTCAAATTATTACACCCAACCACTAGGCACCAGCTGGCCTCCAATATATGTACGCTTTTATATATATGATGGACATTGTCGCGTGAAATTAAAACGCTGACGCCAAAGTCGTCGTCGTTTTACTGGGTATTTGGCCCGTGAACGACACTGCTCAATCCCATGGGCCGACCAATCCAGGCTATGTAGGAGAGAGATGCTCAATCATTTATTTTTGGACCCACAAAAATGCTCAATTGCTTTCTCGGTCACCAAGGAAGTCACCTCCAAGAGCGTGAAGAGAGAAAGAACGAAGAATTTTGTCTCCTCTTTTATTACGAATGTTCAAAATAGTGCTACGTTTTTGTCCTCAGTTTTTTACCCCTATAAATGAGCGATTGAGTGTGAATCTTCTTCACCAAAGTTACTTTTCAGTTCGGTACTGTGAGGTCGGAGCATCGAGGTTTCACAGTGAAAGAAATGTCCGGTGTCGATGATGTCGCCCACGATATTCAATCTGTCCTCTCTTCTTCAGAGAGGGACTATCTCCTTCGGAACAACGGCGATCAAGTACGTATTTGGTTATCTCATTTAATAATTTGACGTGATTTCTACCTTTCATTTTCTCGAAAATTTGTCCAACTCTAGCATTTGGAAAACTCGAACTCTGTGTTTCTTTATGAACCCATCGTAGGTCAATCAGACTCCAGTGATATTTGAAGTTTTTGATCAACGGCCTTAGCACTAGATTTGTAGTCTTCTGAGTCATTAGGGTGTGTAATTTTCTATTTTCTTGCCTATACTTGCTGCCCGTCTGATTTGATCACTATCTTTTTGTATTTTCTGTCATGTTTGATTCAAAAATTTGTTTAAATAACGAAACATGTGAATTATTGTGATGACCCAGCATGTTCTTAAGAGTTTTCGATATAAGATATACTCTGGGTTAGATAGAATACGTAGCTGCTTCTGCCTTTTTTTTCTCCCTTTTGACAGAAAGCCGCTTCTGCTAAA